GAGGGGGCCGTGGGTCTTACTCCAGACAGGGGGAGGGTCAGGATGGGGCCATGGTTCCCCCCAGACAGGAGGAGGGCTGGGTGGGTTTCATGGCATGGTAGGGCCTCCCTCTGTGACCACTACCTCCTCCCCTGATGGTCATAGCTGAATCAAAGGGCAGAGGGCCTGGTCCTGCCCACACCAGCCCCTCCCTGGGCAGGAAGTCACCGTTTCCCAGCCTGTGGCAGCTCCTCCGAGAGCCTGCTGTGTGCAGGCAGAGGGAGGGCCCCGAGGGAGGAGAYCTGCTCGGGGGAGCCGCTGGGCCCTGGACACTGCTCTGTGCTGGGCTGGGGCAGGCACGTGCTGGCTGCCGCCGGCCCCCAGGACGTCACCCCCTGAAATGTTTGGAAGGCACCCAAAGGTGTGCCATCCTTTGGTGGAAGCCAGAGTCCTGTGAGTGGTGCTCCGCCCAGGCCTCCTGTGCCTGGGGACTTGGCACAACTGGGCTGTCCTCCCCAGTGATCCCGCGCTGCATCATCGCCAACGGGAAATTTAAAGACTGTGCTTAGATTTTTTTTAAAAAGCTTCCCAACAGAATGCTGGACTCTCTGAGGCTAACCTGAAATGAAAGCCCGGGTGGACATGAGGACCTCAGAGAGGAGCCAGGCCAGGACCCACACCCTCACCCCTCCACAGGCAGGCTCTGCCACAGCCGGCTTCTACCTCTCCCCAGCCAGCAGGCTGGGCGGCAGCGTGGGGCCTGGACCTGGGACCCTCCCCACACAGGCCTGGGCCCCCGAGGCTCAGATGTTATGGGACTCGGAAGGGGCTCTCAGGACTCTGGGGTTCTGGGGACAGTGACGAGAACATCTGGGTGGCCTGGGTCTCGTAGAGAAAGGTGGCCAGGAAGGGGCGTCCCAGCTGTGGGGGCCAGGAGGTCCTGGGGGACCTGGGAGCTGGCCTGGTTCAGGGTCCCTCCGCGGGCCTCAGTCTTGGGATGGCAGGAGGGAGGAGGGAAGAGAGCCCTGAGGGGCCCCGCAGTCACCTGGGGCCGGGCGCAGACTTCACCTGCTGGCGGATGCGCCATTAYACTTTAGTAGCCGTGGGATCCGCCGAGGGAGCAGGAGGAGCTTCCTGCTGTGGTGGGATCTGTGCCTGCTTCCCTAATGCACTGTGGGCTGGGAGGGTCCCTGGGGGCCCCAGGCAGCTCCAGGGAGCCAACCAGCCTGCAGTCACGGGTTGGCTGCTCCTCCCTCCTGCGTGGAGAGGGCTCCTAATTCCCCTGTAGCAGACAGGCCAGCTGGCTGTCCTCAGGGGACTGGGTGCCAGAGGCGGCCCCTGCCCCACCCAGGTCCTCCTGGTACCCGGCGAGGAGGCAGAGGTGAGGTGTGTGGCTGTGGGTTTGGGCTCTGGGTGATGGCCATTCCTTCCGGCTGACCACAGCAGTGCTGTGCACCAAGGTCAGCGCCTCTCACAGTGGGGCAGCTGAGACTAGCCAGCTGGGGAGGTGAGGCCGAGGACCCGAGTCCGGTCACTGTGCTGACTACTGCTCCCGGGCATGAGGCTTCTGCCACGTCCATGTGGACTGAGCCTGGGGGCTGGGCTGGGCCCTCATGGGCTGCCCTGTAGAGTATGGGCCAGGGAGCGAGGGACCACAGTGGACGGTGGAGTGGAGGGCTCCACCCCTGAGCAGCAAGGCAGGGAGGGACAGGGCTGCCCTCAGAGTTCAAGGAGTGGACACCCTGACCCCAGATGTAGGTGGGGCTGGAGCCTCAGGGGGATCCAGGAAGGACCTCTGGACCTCKGGCCTGGGGGTCAGTACTCACAGGGAGGTGGAGCATTCTGGGGGGCCATTGCTGGGTGCGGGCAGGTCCAGGGAGGGGCAGGTGTGGTGCCAGGAGTGGCAGCAATGCTGCCTTGGCCCTGTTCTGGGGCCCTGACTTGGGACCTGAGGCCAGCAGGTGGGTCACTGTGTCTCCCTGTGGGACCTTGGCACTGGTGGGCCTGGGCTTCCTGTCCAGCACCTGAGGTCCTAGAGGGCTTGGGTTCTGGAGGGTGGGGCCYGGGTGCTGGGCTGTGGACTCCAGCTCCCCCTGCCTCCCTGTGCCCAGCCCCAGGCTGGTCCCAGGAGGGGAGGGCTCTGGAGATGGGAAGGGGAATCTGTCCGTCTCTGCCACCTTGGGCCTGTACAGCGGGCAGGGCTTAGTCCTTGAGGTGACTTTTGGGTGTGTGGGCATGGGTCAGGACTCACCTTCACCTGAATCCCTGCCCAAGGGGCAGCAGGCCATGGGGTCGGGCAGGSCCTCACTCCCTGGGGCCCTTCCTTCTGCCCACGCTGACCTCCTGTCCCTCCGCAGCCCCAGGACCATGAACAGCACTTGCAGCACCGTCTCCTGGCCCCCTGGGCTCAAGCACGTCTTTGTCACCTACTCGGGCACGCTGATGGTGCTGGGCCTGCTGCTCAACGGCCTGGCGCTCTGGGTGTTCTGCCGCCGCATGCGGCAGTGGACGGAGACCCGCGTCTACATGACCAACCTGGCCGTGGCCGACCTCTGCCTGCTCTGCTCTCTGCCCTTCATGCTCTTCTCCCTGCAGCACACCTCCGACACCCCGCTGTGCCAGCTCTCGCAGGGAATCTACCTGGCCAACAGGTACATGAGCATCAGCCTGGTCACGGCCATCTCCGTGGACCGTTACGTGGCCGTGCGGCACCCGCTGCGTGCCCGAGGGCTGCGCTCCCCGCGGCAGGCTGCGGTGGTGTGTGCGGCACTCTGGGTCCTGGTCCTAGGCTCCCTGGTGATCCGCTGGCGCCTGGGGCTGCAGGAGGGCGGCTTCTGTTTCCGGAACTACGCCCGGCACGACTTCGGCACCACCACTTTCTCACTACTGGGCTTCTACCTGCCCCTGGCTGTGCTGGTGTTCTGCTCTCTGCAGGTGGTGACTGCGCTGGCCCRGAGGCCAGCCTCCGAAGCCGGCCAGGTGGAGGCCACCCGCAGGGCTGCCCGCATGGTCTGGGCCAACCTGGTGGTGTTTGTAGTCTGCTTCCTGCCGCTGCACGTGGTGCTGACGGTGCAGGTGGCCACGGGCCTGTCCTCCTGTGCAGAGCGCAAGGCCTTCAGCCGGGCCCTCTTCATCACCAGCAAGCTCTCGGACGCCAACTGCTGCCTGGACGCCGTCTGCTACTATTACATGGCCAAGGAGTTCCAGGAGGCCTCCGCGCTGCCCATGCCCGCCGGCACCAAGGCCCACAAGAGCCAGGACTCTCTGAGCCTCACCCTCACCTAGCAGGCACTCACTGTGGGCCAGGYCTCAGGGCTCTGGGAGGGGCAGCTTGCCAGGGCACCTGGGGCCAGCGTGGAGCCCCGAGACAGACCCTGGCCTCACCCTGGTCTGTGGGCCCTCTAGGAGGCCAGTGGAAGGGCTGGACCCAGGTTTGCCGAGCCTCGGTGGCTTCGCTGCTATCCTGGGAGGGGACAGGGACAGCAGCCAGAGGATGACTCCTGAGGGGGTCAACCCCAAGGACCCTGGGACAGGGACACACAGCTGTCACCCTAGAGCTGACTCCCTTGGGCACCGGGTGGGGCCCTGACAGCCTGCCTTCTTCTGTGGACCCCCTGGCGGGAGTAAAGCTGTCCGCTGCGGTGGCTGGCAGGGCCCTCTGTCACTCCCACCCAGTCCTCGCCCTGGGTGGGGCTGCAGTGGCCTGGGTGTCTCCCTCCTGCCCACCCTTTCTCCCAGGCCCCTGCCCTTCTGCTGAGCCTGGTCTTTCTGGGGCTTGGTGGCCCTGGGGGCTCTTAGGACATGCCGAAGCCCTCCCGAGGCGYCAGGCCCTGGCTCCGCCCCCCACTCCCCTGCAAATGCCACCCAGCGCTTGCTGCCTGATGGACACCCACCCCTCCCTCCCACCGCCCCCTGCAGCCTCTGAGGGGACCTCAGGCAGCCTTGGCTCCAGGCCTGTGGGGTGCGGCCTGCAGCGAGGTCTTGAGGCCCTTTATGGAGGTGGGGCTCAGCCACTCCCACCAGAGCATCCGCCAGCACCCGGAGCTGCTGCCCAGGCCCAGGGCCACCCATCCCCAGGCGCCCTAGCTTGTTACCACCTGCCAGTCCGCTTCGGACACTCGCGGGCCCCATGCCTGCACTGGGCATGGCCGGGTCACACTGTCCTGGGCAGTGTCAGGTGAACAGGGCAGGGACAGTGCCGGGCAGCTGTCAAGGCCCTGTCCTGCACTGTCCCCCCTTCCCGCCTGCCGTTTCCTGCTGCAGGTAGCCCTGCCTGTGCCCGGAACAGCACCACCAGCTTCCCTGGGGTGGGGCCCACCACGTCCACTCCATGGCCTCACCCTGCCTTGGGCTGGGCTCCCCATACCCCTTGGTTCCTCCAGAATCCTTCCCAGCCCTCACAGAAACCCCACCCTCTGGACATGTATCCCTGCCCACCGGGTGAGCAGTTTCCCTGACCTGACCCCCTCCACCCTGACCCCAGACTTACAATTCCAAGAGGCAGGAGGTCCACTGAGGGTCTTGCCCTAGGCTGGGAGTCTCCAGCCTGGCCAGCAGGGCCGGGGCGTCTGCAGGCCCCCTGTTCTGCCTCTCGCCAGGACTGGGGTCCAGGGGGACAGGCGGACCAGGCTGCAGGCTCAGCTCAGGGAACCAAGGGTGGYAAAGAGCTTCAGTGAGGGCCAGGTGGCAGGGCTTCCAAGAGCCCAGTCCTGAGAGAGGCCAGCAGGGCCACCGTGCACAGGCCTGGGCTGTCCCCCCAGTCACCAGCTGTGCCCATGGGCTCTGACCACCAGAGCAGAGGGAAGGAGAGCACGGGAGACGGAGAGTGTGGGCCTCTGTCGTGGCCAGGCTCCCTGCCTGGGTCCCGTCTTGCTGGACACATGGCCCTCCTTGGCTTCCTGGCCCACACAGGGAGGTTGGGGGATGGGGGTCTCCAGCTGCTGCACCCCTCAACCCAGCCTGGGCTTGGGGATGTAGAGCCAAAGCTGCCTGTGTGGATGCCATCTCACCCTGGAGCAGCCGGGTGACCTGGGGCAGCAGGGTGACCCCAGGGCCCTGACCACTGGGTGAGCCAGCTCCTGGCGTGGGCAGAAGGCAGTTAGCTGGCTGCCCCCGTCTCTGGCCCCCAAGGCCTGCCTGTGCCTGGTATCAGCCTGGCCTTGGCCCCAGCCATTGGAGATGATTCATCACGCTCACGGRGCAGGCCCCCGGCCTGCACCCTATGTCCTGCTGTGCACAGCAGGGGAAAGGAGAGGAGCCCACTGCCCAGCACTGCCGGCCAGGCTGAGGGAGTGCCCCTCAGGTCCAGGTCTGCTCCCCTGGGGTGGTGGCCAGGACGACTTGAGGGTCCATTGCCGGGACCCATCCCGGGCCCACCTCAGAYCTGGCTTCCTGGCACTCCGTGCTAAAGCCTGGGCTCCCAGGGTCTGGGGCAGCGTCCTGCGACGAGGGCAGAGTGTGCTCAGGACCCCGTCCTTCCAGCCTGCGCGGGAGCAGGCCTCCGGGTGACTCCCAGGCCCGAAGGGGTGGGCACACGTTCCCTTCCTCCTGCCTCTCTCCAGGAGGCCCCCAAGTGACCTGCCAGCAGTGAGGCCTCGTCTCTGTGGCCACAGGCAGCACGCCCAGGTCCCCGTGTTCACGACCTCAGTCCTGGTGTGGGACGCGGGCAGCCCGACCCAGGCCCACCCTCTCACTGCCAGGGGGCCTGGCGGAGGCTCTGCCTCGCGGTGGGAGGGAGATTTCCAGAGGCCTCAGGTCCCGGGAATCGCCTGCCRAGGACTGGCTCTGGGACCTGGGACTGAGAACACAGGGCCGTGGGGCTGACAGCACCCTGGGCACCCAGGGGTRATCCTTCCAGTAGCCTGTCCCCTGGGGGATGCCGCCAGCCATAGGCCTCCCGAGGGCACTTGTCCCCGGCAGTGTCTGCGGTACCACCTGCTCGACCCAGGGTCCCGCCGAGGAGGACGCGGGGCACAGCATCTGCTGAGAGGACCAGAGGAGTGCGTGTGGAGGACAGGGTCTGCGCACGTGTGGGGCAGGAGGAGCCTGGGCCAGTGCCCGCAGTGGACGGCAAGGAGTGGTCCTGCCCATGGGCCAGGAGGGACCTCTGGGGGGCACCCTGCTCTAGCTTGCCGTCTTTGTCATGGGCATTTTGTAAAACTGCTGATGGCCACTGGGACCCAAAGCCTAGGAGGTGGGCTGGGCCCCTGCGGCCCCCCACCCCCGTGTTCCCCTGCCCCTCTGCTGGGCCGTCGGGAGCAGCCAGGAACAGCCAGCTGTGCCGTGGGCTTTCACGGTGGGAACGCTGCTTCCCAGGGGCCGTCTGCGGATGGTCRCCCGTGGCTGGACCGGAGTTAGCTCCTGCTGTCCCCATGGAGGGCGAGGGTGGGACCCTAAGTGGACAGCCGCGGGCAGCAGGTGAGCAGAACCAGCCGACGGAGTCCCCAGAGCAGGCCCAGCAGGGCTGCGTCAGCCTCCRGGAACCTTTCCCCGCTCTCCTTCAGAGCTGGCCTGCTGCCCTGGGAGCGCCCCCGGGTTCAGGAGCCGGGGGCGCCGTCCAGGAAACCCACCGCCCTCCCTGTACAGAAAGGGGCAGCAGTAGGAGGCCCTGACTGAGACTGCCGTCTCTTCCTGGGTCTGGCCCCTGACAGTCCGCCTGGCTCTCACCACAGCGTGAGCTCCCACCCACCCTGACCCCAGCACGGGCTCCTGCCTCAGCCCAGCCACCTGCAGCCAGCTCAGGGGCAGCACCAGCTCCTGCCTCAGCCCAGCCACCTGCAGCCAGCTCCCACCAGGTCAGAGGGCACCGAGGTGGCGGCGCAGAGCCCCCAGGACCCCCTCTGGTGAGCGCGGCTCTGTTGGCAGAGCCACAGTGCCTCGGCAGAGTGTCTGGTCACTTAAGCCTAGGGCTGGGGCCGGGCTGCAAGGAGAGGCATCTAGGGCCAAGARCCAGCCACCGACAGGCTGCCCCGAGAGGTGTCTCCAGGGAGCGCTATTCATCGGGCCAGGGCCCAGGACTGGGGGGCTGTCCGCAGGGGAGCAGAGAGGGGAGGTGGGCTGCACCGGTAGTGGGCCTCCAGGACCTCTGAGCTCTGTGTCCTGGGCCCACAGACACCCGTCGCCCCTGGMGAGCTGCTGGCCGGGGGCTGGTGAGCTCCCGGCTAGGGACAACAGGGCCCGTGGTTCAGGTCTGCACCTTGGTGGGTGAAGAGGTGGCAGGACTGCGGCAGGGAGGTCTCGTGACCTCGGGATGCTTGCCCAGGCAGGCGCCTGCAGGGCCTAAAGCTCAGTGGCAGGTGGCTGACGAGGACATGGTGGCAGATGTCTCCGGGCCCTGAGAAGCCACTGGACCCGGCATGGCCTGGCCAGGTGAGCTTCTGGCTGCAGAGGGGTGCGACCTGGAGGTGAGGACGGAAGGGAGCAGGTAGCTAGGGTGCTGGTGGAGGTGTGCAGAGGGGGTCCTGAGGGCCCCGGCCCAGGGAGCCTGTGTTGCTTCTGCAGGGTGTCCTGGGGGGCTGCTTCCTTGTGTCCATGGCCCCTGGGGCTCCACTCCCAGGCTCACAAGCATGCAGCTAGAGTGTCAGGCCCTGAGCAGCCCTCGGGTGGCCATAGACATGATGCGGACTTTGCCAGGGCCCCTCAAACACGGACTTGCCACACTCACCCTCTTGACACTAGATGCCCGACCTTCCCACCCCACGTGGGGCATCTGACAGAGTCCACTTCAGGTCTCCATGGAAATGAGGCCAGGAGCTTCTAGCCAGTCAGGAGGGATGGTGCACACCTGTGATCCCAGTGACTCAGAGGCTGAGATAGGGAGATTGCAAGTTGGAGGCCAGCCTGGGCAACTTTGAGGCCCTAAGCAACTTAGCAAGACCCTGTCTCAAAAAAAAAAAAAGATAAATAAAGATAAAAATAAAAATAAAAAGAGCTGAAGATGGAGCTCAGTGGTCCCTACGTTCAATCCTCAATAGAACAACAAAACAGAACCGGAATTCAAAGTCTCAGGCGGAAGAAGCCGCCACTGCCCAGCCTGGCTGACTGAGATCGGCTCCCTGCCATTGGGGCACCCAGAAAGGTCAGCGGTGGCCATCAGACTCAGGCCTCCTGGGTGAAACGTGAGTGCAGGGCGGAGCTCTGCTGTTCTGAGGGCCCCAGGCCTGCGTACAGGGCAGGGCCTCTGGCTACAGGCTCAGCCAGACCCAGGTTCTCTGCTCCAGGAAGAACCCGAGGCCCTCCCAGGGCCGGAACATTCTGCAGGACACTCAAGACACAGAGGCTGAGGA